GCATCGGTTCACTTACGTTCTTTTGTATATGTTTAAGCGAAAATGACCCAAAATAATACTTAGTGTCGGAATGTCTAACCTCAGTTGGTCGCAAAGGTTTTACAGCACTGAGGGGGTGGGTTGACGTGTTGATTCCTCGAGATGCTGAAGCTTGGGCTACTTTATTTGCAGTAGAAGCCAGAGGACATGCTTAGAATGACCCAAGTGGTAAACTATGTTGAAGGAATTGATGATCTTTTGCCTGAGATGTCTCCAGACACTCTTGGGATCAACACCTGCATCTAGTACCCACACATTTGGAATGTTCAACTTTCCTCAAGAACCTACACAATCAGAATCACTGTCACAAACCAGAAATATTAATGTAAGAATGCTAAAATTTATAACTATTTCTTTTACAAATTCTATGCACTCTGTATCCATTGAAAGGTAAGCATTTACTGATTACCTATATAAACCGCAACTCATCTACGCAGCACGGACTTGTAATTGTTACAAGCCTGCATTCATCTTCAAGAAAAAAAGAAAAAAAAAATCAATGTATCACAATCCAATAAGTAAAACAGCCAGAAATGTCCTAAAGTCAAAACCATGTCTTTGTGGTCTTCGTCAAATAATCTCTTTTGTTCTGTGCAAAGTCAAAATATGTTTTTTAATGTTTCCGAGAGAGGAGGTAATTTCAAGCAGAGCAGATCAGAGCTTCATTGTCATCTGCAGGAGAACTCATGTACTTTAAAAAATAAAGACAAGTAAGCTGAGAGAACCATCAACATCATTGGCAAGTCAATGAAATTAAACAACCTGCAACTAGCATTTTCTTGATTCAGAATATGATTTTCTAGTAGTGATCTATAACCAATTCAAAAGGAAAGGCATTTCCTTGCTAGTGTACTCCATGTAAAGGTCAACACAAGGTTTTGGTTGAAAACTAGGTGCCGAGTCTGCAAGCTAGTTACAAAACAAAAATCTATCCCAAAAAAAAAAAGTGCAGAAGAATCTGAGATTCACAACCAAAGGTGGGAGAGAAGTTCCACATGGCTGGAGTTCTGGAATCACTGAGTTTCTGGATGATAATTGGTGTCCATGTAACATTTTTGGTGTTAGCTCAAGACGTGAATCAATTTGTGATTTATGACTTCAAGAATTCAGGCCTGTATCTTCATGGAATGGCAAATACCCACGATGGTCCATTGCATCTTACAAATAATACAGAGACGAGAACCGGTCATGCTTTCCACAAAAGTCCCATGAAGTTCACAGCGTCGTCGCCCAGTTCATTTTCCTTTTCAACAGAATTCGTCTTTGCAATCATTCCACTGCAAAGCCCCCCTTCTTATGGTCAAGGAATGGCTTTTGTGGTAGCTCCTACCACAGACCTCAGGTATGGCGGCACTGCAACTTCGGGTTTAGGGCTTTTCAATAGAACACATGATAACAGAACCGAAAACCATATCCTGGCTATAGAACTTGACACTAATGAGAGCTCTGACGTGTTTGACAAAAGCGGAAACCATGTAGGGATTGATATCAACAGTATAGTCTCGGTCGATTCTGCCAATGCTAGTTTCTTTGATGATAAAGAGGGAAAGAACATAACCCTGCTGCTTGCTAGTGGAAACAGTATTGTGATCTGGATAGATTATGATGGAATAGAGCAATTACTAAATGTAACGTTAGCTCCAGTACCAACTCCAAAGCCAGTTTCATCTCTCTTGTCAAGTTCCATCAAACCAAGTGTGCCACTCTTGTCAAGATCCATCAATCTTTCAACTATTTTCATGGAGACTATGTTTGTAGGTTTCTCTGGATCCACAGGCTCAACCAGAAGTGACCAATATATCCTTGGATGGAGTTTCAAGAAAGGCGGAAAAGCAGAAAGCCTTGACCTTTCAAAGATTTTGGATCCACCTCCACCGTCTTCACCACCATCCTCTCCTCCGCCACCCTCTCCGCCACCCACATTAAAACAGATTCTTGGCATTACTATACCAACAATTGCTTTTCTGTTGATGATACTGGGAGGAATTGTGTATCTTTACAAGAGAAAGAAGTATGCGGAGGTGCTGGAACAATGGGAAAAGGAATATAGTCCCCAGAGATTCTCCTTCAAGAAGCTCTACAAAGCAACCAAGGGTTTCAAGGAGAATCAGCTACTTGGAGCAGGAGGTTTTGGAAAAGTATATAAAGGAATACTTCCCTCTGGAACAGAAATCGCTGTTAAGCGAGTCTACCATGATGCAGAACAAGGAATGAAACAGTATGTCGCAGAGATTGCTAGTATGGGAAGGCTAAGGCACAAGAACTTGGTGCAGCTCCTTGGTTACTGCAGAAGGAAAGGTGAACTGCTTTTGGTGTATGATTACATGCCAAATGGAAGCCTTGATGACTACTTGTTCACTAAAAACAAGTTAAAAGACCTCACTTGGTCTCAGAGATTGAACATAATCAAGGGAGTCGCCTCTGCCCTTCTGTATCTTCATGAAGAGTGGGAACAAGTTGTGCTACATAGAGATATCAAAGCTAGTAACATTCTGTTAGATGCCGATCTAAATGGACGGTTGGGAGACTTTGGGCTAGCCAGATTCCATGATCGTGGTGTGAATCTAGAAGCCACACGAGTGGTAGGAACCATTGGTTACATGGCACCAGAGCTTACTGCAATGGGAGTGGCTACTACTAAAACCGATGTCTATGCTTTTGGAGCTTTTATCATGGAAGTGGTTTGCGGGAGGAGACCAGTAGACCCTGATGGACCACGTGAGCAAGTGATTTTGGTTAAGTGGGTTGCGAGTTGCGGGAGAAGAGACGCTCTAACTGATACCGTTGACAGTAAACTAAGAGACTTTAATGCTGAAGAGGCCAAGATGCTTTTGAAGCTAGGAATGCTCTGTTCACAAAGTAACCCAGAAAACAGACCTAGTATGAGAGAGATATTACAGTATCTGGAAGGAAATGTCAAGGTTCCAGGTATATCATTTGATACTGCTGGATTCGGTATGCCCAATATAAGCCATGAAACAGTAACACAAATGACAACAGCCTCCTCATCAGCTAATTTCTCATATGAGGATGTTACAATCCTATTTGGCGGTCGCTAAAGCCAAGCATCACAGGCTATTGTAACTACATGAAAATATCTTTCTACTAACTATGTGTCTATTTATGTGAATGATTGTATTTGTGTTGTTTGAAATTTGTATATACCATCGGTGCAGCTACTTTCTTTTG